ATATTTTCTGAAATATTACTTCAAACTTTTCCCTTAAATTTCTCTTTTTTTAGCTTTTTATTTTGTATTGGGATATAGCCAATTAACAGACAATGTTCTGATAGTTTCAGGTGATCATTCCCTACATTTCTTATTTAGCATTCATTATTCAGAGCTCTTCTTAGGCCCCAATTGTCCTTTTGGTTTGTAGCATTTATGCAATGCGATGTGCCTATATAAAAGGCATATTAGAATATAACTTTCCCCTTTTGGTCTCTGTAATTTTTTCTTCCCTTCCTCCAAGATCCTTTTCTCTGTTTCTTTATGTGATTTTTTTTCTTTTATCCTAGAGGATTTCCTTAAATGCCTAGAAATGCTTTTGTTGTCTGTTCACCTTAAGAATGAAGCTGATTAGAAGTTTGTGTGCTTAGAAGGGGTTTTATTGATTGGTGGACTTAACTAGAGGGTAATAAGGTAGCAGGTCAGGTTTTCCATTGAAGAACCCCCAAATGTCAGTATCAGCAGGTCTTTTTTCTTTTTTTTTGGCTATTCAGTTTCCTCCAGAAAGTTGTCTCCAGTCTTTCTGTCTACTTCTTGGGATGGAAGCTTCTTGGACTGGTAGGGTTCTGAATGCTGAAGAGGTAAGGACTGTTGGTTTCGTTGTTTACTTTGAAGAATTGCAGTTCAGTGTCTTTCAACCTTTCTTAGTGTTAAAACTGTCCCAGACAGTAAATGTACTTGTTTCAGCTGGAGTGGAGGTGTTATAGGAGTCTGGCTGTCCAGGTGAAAAGAGGGAATCTAAGGAACTGCCTTTGTGTTATTTTCAGATAATGCTCTTGTCTCCAGCCTGACCCTCACCTGTATCTTTGAGTACATCTAGTTCTGCCAAACCTTTGGTGGTGGGGGGTGGTGAGGGAGGCTGTTGTGAGAAATGAATTGCTTCATCTCGGCTCACCTCCTACCTTCTGATTTCCTAGTCTACTAAGGTCCTGCTCATCGAAAGCAATGTCAGTCTTTCCTTCTTCTAGGCCTCCCTTATCTTTCTTTGTGATATTCTTAGAATCACTTTCCCTCATCCCTTGTTTTTGGGGGAGTAAATCACCCTCTTCTCTCCTAAAGGGAAGGGGGTGGGAAAAGGCTTTTATCACAAATATGAGACACAAAAGCCAGCGATTCCTGATCTTCTTTCCCCTCCTTCTAAAGACACTATGATGTGGGGAATAGAGGGGATGGTAGAGGTGCATGATATTTGCAATAGGCCTGGTTATTCTCATGATTTGACACAGGGGCAAGAGCCTGAATCCAGTTATTGGTGGCTTATTGGTGGTTCTTTCTAGCAATTTGGGGGGTACTTAGCACTTCTACCCATCAATTTTGAGCCTTAATTACAATTCCAGAACAAGAGGGTAAAATTGCATATAATGATCTATTGTATAAGTGGATCCAAATGTACTTCAAATTCCCCATTGTTGGACATTTAGGTTCTTTGCACTTTAAAAAGAATTTATGTCTTTATTTTTGGTTGGGATAGGTCTCCCTTACTGTGTGTGGGCTTTCTTTAGTTGTGATGAGTGGAGGCTACTCTTTGTGGTGTCAGGCTTCTCACTTTGATGGCTTCTCCTGTTGTGGAGCAAAGGCTCTGGGCTCAGGGGCTTCGGTAGTTGCAGCACATGGGCTCAGTAGTTTTGGTTCCTGGGCTCTAGAGTGCAGGCTCAGTGGCTGTGATGCATGGGCTTAGCTGCTCCCCGGCGTGTGGAATCTTTCTGGACCAAGGATCCAGCTCATGTCCCCTGTGTTGGTAGGTGGACTGTTATCCACTGTACCACCAGGGAAGCCCTCTTTTGTACTTTTTGTGATACTAGCAGTGTCACAGTGAACATCCTTACAGTCATTAACTGTTATTATTTACACATGAGATTCCTATGAGTGGAATAGTGGGGTGATACGATATGCATGTTTTTAATGCTTTTATTACATATTATCTGGTTGCCTTGAACTCTTGTACCAATTTTACATTCTATGGTACATGAGAAGGTTCTTTTTCTCCTTATATATGCTTGTTCCAGCTATTTTATCTTTTTCCTTATCTCTGCCAGTTTGGATAAAAGAATGGTCTCTCATAATTTTACATTGCATTTTTATCACTAGTAAGAATGAACCACTTTACATATGTGTTTTGCCCACTGAGCTATTTTTTTTAATGCCATTTGCCTGTTCAGGTCCTTTGACAGTTTTTCTATTGGAGTATTCAATTTTTTATATGTTAGAGCTTTTAATATATTGAAAATATTAAATGTATGCCATAAATGTTGTCACTGTGTTTCCCAGTTTGATGTGCCTATGTATTTTATTTATAATACTTTCCATTATACAAAAAATTTAAAATTTTATGTATTCAGATCTTAGATAAAATGACCTATTTCTCTGAGTTTCATTTTTCTCTTTAATAAAAATGTGATAATAATACATACTACATGGCAAGTGGGGATGGTATAGGTAAACTCATTGCTGCATTATAGATGTTCAACAAATGATAGCTTTTTTTATTCCATGTGTGCACATTGAAAATATTCAGAATCATCCAAATTTTTTACTAGAATTAAAAACCATACTCAGGATGTTTAAACCAGGTATATATGAACATGAATGTTAAGTAAAACTATCTTTTAGGCTGGTAGAGACAGGTAAACTTTAATTTCTCTTGTTACTTGTCTAATTTTTATTCTTAAAAAAATTGATGAGCTCTGACTGATGCATCCTCTTAAGTAAGAAAATCTGAAGTCTGAATGGAAGGTGAGAAGACTAGTGTTTTCTTGTAAGTTATTGTTAAGGAATTATGAATATATTCATTTCTGATAATGACTTCTTTCATTGCATGTTTACTTATTATCAACATAGATACATCTGATAAAACCAAAATCACACACTAGCTCATTCTGCTGTTAAACAATATGAAGATAAGGTTTCTATCATCCAGAAAGTCAGCAGAACTTATTCCCCGAGGTCAAGTGCAAGTTGGCCTTAGGTGGATAGCAGTCTGTTCAGTTGTGAGCTTATATAAACTGCTTTTATAAATGTTATTTTTAGACTAATTTATAACAATAAAAAATTTTATTTTAGGTGTTATAACTTCTAAGCAATCTTTTATGATAATATAATGGATTTCTTATACAATGCTGTTATAATAAAAATAATTTTGTCATTTCACATATACTTTTACTATAAATAAAATCACTTACAGTAATTTCATAGATGTGGCCTAACTAAAGTCTAGTGAGCCATATTTTAATATTATAGTATATTTGAGCATAGAATAAAAAAAAATCACCACTGAGGAAGTTTATAAGAAATTGTTTACCAAGTATGCTTTTAGGAATATAACTATCTTCCATTTTGGTTATTTCTCCAAATTCATTTTTCCCTCTTTATTGGGTAACATGCCTGACATAAGGACAGGGTAACTTTCTGAAAGCCATCAGATGTCCTGGGTTGTCGACATTGCTCTCTTCTTTATATATCCTGTAAAATGTCTCCCTTCTCCATCAGTTGTGTGTGTATATGCCACTATTGCAAGGTGGAGATGATTCCAAATGAATCCCTGTGAATGATGTTGGCAAAGCCATCTAAACATACATGTGCTTGATGTGGGCACTGACATTTATGTTGGTTTGTAGGATTTCTTTGTACCTTCAAAATTATTCTCTCTATAATCACTCTTTCTGTAGTGTCATTGTATTCCTTAATACAGCTCTATTCAATTATCATACAAGGCTTTATATAAGTCAAATAGCATTCCCCTTCAAAGCTAACCATTGCAAATGATATTTTAAAGATCCTTGAGGTGGAGTGGTTACTACTTGAAATGTGACAGTTCCAAACTCTTCATAGTGACTGTGCACTTTGTTGCATTTTAAAGACATTTACTGTAGAACATTTGAAGAATCAGGTGCTTGTGTGTTAAATGCCTGCCACCTGACAATTATCTCAAGGAAGAAATTTTGGTTTAGTTTAAACTTAATGTAAAGAAAAAATAATTTATGAGTTTTCAATAAGACTTTATTAAGACAGATTCCAGAACTGAGTTTAATTGCTTCCACACCTAGATAAGAGTGATTTGTGTGTCAAAATTAAGCATATTGGCAGGTCATCCTGTGTAAGTTTGTACATAGAGTTGAAGTAAACTTATATTTTCACTTGAAGTTTTTTTAACAGCATTTATTTCTTCTGCCAGTTATTTTAGTTTATTGACTGTTAATTTATCAACCCTTCTTTTAAAAAAAAGTGAGAGGAAAAAAGGCCATAGTATTATCACATTTGTATATGTGGGTTTCCTAAACCATATGGTGATTTCTAATTAGAATACAAAGGATTCTTTGAGGAGACTAACTTCATAGTATCTGCAATGGTGGGCATCACCGAAGAAGAGAGTTTTCTTGGCTTTCCAACAAGGACATTTTTGAGAGAAACTGTGTGGTCTGTAATTGTCCTTGTATTCGAAGTCTGATAAAGTTATTGATGTGCAGATCAAGTTGGTATTTTGAAGCAGGTAATTTAATTCTGGATGTTTGATCCTCTCAGTCAGTGGTTTGACTTGATTTTTTAAAAGGCAGCTTCAATATTTAATTTCACATGTACCCTCTCAGTAGAGATTTCAAAGGATACTTTGCTGGATCCTTGACTGCCTTGTCTATTTGTTCTTGTTTTGCATGCAAGAGAGAGCCAGAAGTCTTTCTTCTCATTGTGTACACATAGTATTAATGGATTTACTCTGCCTGTATCGTCTCATTACTGGAAACAGCCAGAAGCACAGAAGTCTTTCAGTGTATGCAAATAAGGCAGAATCATCTACCTGAGAGTTAATATTCTCTGCTTTTAAGTGTATTCTAAATCTAATGTTTGTATTTAGAGCATAACATCCTGTTCTTTTTTTTATAGGCAAAAAGCTAAGCAGGCTCAGGCAGCTGTTTGATGTTGGCTTCAAGTGTTATTAATTTCATATTCTATTATTCTTTTCACTGTAGCACAAGTGAAGCTGATGTGGAGGCTGTCATGGATAAGTTGTTTGATGAGCTGGCTCAGAAACAAAATGATTGTACGTAAGTTAATTTCTCTTGAAAGAGAATACATTTAGAACACAATGCCCAATCTCCACTGACCAATTAATAAGTTCCATTGCTGTATATGGGTTGATGCCACGCTCAAGTGGCAGTCATTGTATCAGCATTTTGTCTAATTTATGTGTTGAATCATGTGCTATTATTCATCAAGCTATGCATTTCCTATCTGTAAGAGATGAATTTTATAGTAATTATCCAGACAAGATTGAGTCTTTGTTCATGTTCCCATAGTAACTAGACCAAGGATTCTAAAAGTGCAAGGCAGAGAGCTGCGGCTGAATAAAGCCTGTGGAACCGTTGCCGACTGCACATTTGAAGAGCTGTGTGAGAGAGTGAGTATCCAGACACGTTCAGACTCAGTGGCCTTTTCACATGTTAAAATACTTCATATTTTCCTCTGTGCCTGTTTCAAATTTTAAAATGCAATTTACCAAGTCAGAACTGGTTTATTAGTCTCATTAAGAAATACTCATCTGTTTATGCCTATGTGCTTTTTATAGATATTGGCACAAAATTTACACTTAGAAGGGCTTTAACACAAAATTAGAAATACAGAGAGTGCTGTCAACTATTGCTGGAAGCAAAACCAAGATGGGCTTTAGGCATATTGTGTAAAAGTCAAACGTAAGAAAAATTTTTTTTAAAGAAGAGGTGAGGTTAGTATGTGGGGAAAGGAAGATGATGTGATACTACCATGATCCAGGGAGTATGATGTAAAAGAGTTTCCATTCCTTGTTCTCATGGATCCTCTGTTATTGTTATAATATCTGACCTATTTGGGTCAGGTTAAGGAAAGTGAATTTTTAATAGCTGTGACATCTGTATTATATAACAGTATGTCCAACAGAGAAAAAATTATATACACACATCTTCCTATAAATGAGAGAGACATTGATTACAGATTAATTATAGATATGAATTCTTTCTTTTAAAAGCTCTGGGAATTCTCAGTACTCAATGAGTATTCAGTTGACTATAAATCTTAAGAAAAACAAAGTCAATTAAATATAACTTTAAGCATAATACCTCGTTGTCATGTATAATTTATCATTCCAACTGGTCTCTCTGATTTATCTTGACTTTTAGGTAGCTAAAGAGGAATTATTTTTTAGGGAGAAGAGAAAATATTTTTTATACTTGCTAGCCATTTTATGACTACTTTTCTTAAAAACTAGTAACTTCATTACTTCTAAATTTGTAATTTTCAACCCAGAGAAATGAATCCAATCTATAGATGTTATCATAGTAATAAAACACTTCAAGACCCATAATGACTAGGATGAATTAGAATCCTCAGACAGGTTGATAATGTCAGTGTCTGGTTATGAAAGTCATTCTGGGTGATATGGATCCTTCATACTTCTATTGGATTAATCTCATCAAGGTCCTAATAACCTAATATCTTTAGGCATAATTTTATTAAGGCTTCCATTTAAGTTTTACTTACTTTGCTCGAGAAATAAACTTGAGAAAAATCATATATATCTGAGAAGCTTATCCTACTTCCATAGAAGGGGACCTAGTGAAGAAAGGGAAGGACAGATCAATTGTGTCTTGGGGTAGTAGGGCAAAGGTAGGTCCCTTAGAGCAACTACTGAGTTTTTATCTCTTTTTTTCTATGTGCTCATTATTTCAGAATACTTAGTACCAGGAAAAAGTCACTAATCAGAGACTAAAATCTTCATAGTCTACTGTATGGGGGTTGTGAGGAAGAAGAGTGATTGGGACATTACCTTGAAAAATTAAGATACATAAAAATAATTATTTTTATCTTATTTGACAAAAATATGGATTATAATAGCAACTAAGAACTAAATTCCTAAAATAAACAATGAACAAAGTACTATTTATTTTTTGGCATACCTTTCTTGACAAAATTTTAGGATGATAAAGTAATATATCTATGTTTCATAATTTGGTTGTTTGAGTACATGGAAAGCCCTGTTTTAATTCATGAATATTTCAGTTACTTTCTTTTAAAGTTCTTATGGTGTCATTGTCCTTGTGAGTTTTTTCTTCTTCAAGTTAGCTAGATCTTCATTTGTCAGTTACTTAGCTTGAATATGTTTGCTTTATATCTGTGTTGTAATTGTGGGATACTTACTACATCAGACTGGATGACTGACATTGAATATTGACATGATAGGTTGGATTAAGCTAGTATTAAGCTGTGATGCAAGTTTGGGAAGGATTATATTTTTTTAAAATTGAAGTATAACTGACCTACTAATGTATTAGTTTCCAGTGTACAACATAGTGATTTCAATATTTTTATAGATTGCAAAATGATCACCACAGTAAGTCTAGTTAACACCTATTACCTTATATAGTTAAAAAAATTTTTTTTCTTGTGATGAGAATTTTTAAGATCTACTAGCAACTTTCAAATATGCAATATAATATTAATAATTATATTAATTATATTATTATTATTAATTATGTATCATGCTATACATTATATCCCTATGACTTATTTATTTTATAACTGAAAGTTTGTACCTTTTGACCTCTTTCACCCATTTTTCCCACTTCCCAAGCCCCATCCCTCACACCACCAATCTGCTGTCTGTAGGTATAAGCTTGTTTTCTTGTTTTGTTTTTGTATTTTGAGATTCCACATATAAGTGAGATCATGCAGTATTTGTCTTTCTCTCTCTGACTTACTTCATTTAGCATAATGCCCTCAAGGTCAATCCATGTTGTTGCAAATGGCAGGATTCCATTCTTTTTTATGGCCGAATAATATTTCAGTATGTAGGTATACCACTTTTCTTTCATTCATTGACTGGCACTTAGATTGTTTCCATGTCTAGACTATTGTAAATAATGCTGCAGTGATTATGTGGTGCATATTATAATTTCAAGTTTCAAGTCTTTATTTTCTTCAGATAAATGTTGAGAAGTAGAATTGCTGGATCATGTGGTAGTTCTATTTTTAATTTTTTGAGGAACCTCCATAATGTTTTCAATAGTGTTTGCACCAATTTACATTCCCACTGATAGTGTTCAAGGGTTCCTTTTTCTCTACATCCTTACCAACACTTACATCTTGTCTTTTTTATGCTAGCCATTCCAGCTGATATAAGGTGATATCTCACTGTGGATTTGAATTTCCCTGAGGATTAGTGACATTACACATCTCATGTATCTGATGGCCATCTAAATTTTCTTTGGAAAAATATCTGTTTAGATAATCTGCCCATTTTAAAATTGGATTTTATTTATTTATTTATTTTTTGCTATTGGATGAGTTCTTCATATATTTTGGATATTAACCCCTTATCAGATCTATGATTTGCAAATTTTCTTCCATTCAGTAAGTTGCTTTTTAATTTTGCTGATGGTTTCCTTTACTGTGCAGAAGTTTTTTAGTCTGATGTATTCCCACTTTATTTTTGATTTTGTTGCTTTTGGTTTTGGTGCTAGATTTAAAAAACATCACCAAGGCCTAGGTTAAGGAGCTTACTGCCCATGTTTTTTTCTAAGAGTTTTATGGTTCCAGGTGTTATCTTCAATTTTTCAATCCATTTTGAGTTAATTTTTGTGTATGGGGTAAGATAGTGATCAAGTTTCATTCTTTTGCATGTGGCTGTCCACTTTTCACACCATTTAATGAAGAGACTGTCCTTTCCCTATTTTATGTTCTTGGCTCCTTTGTTATTAGTTAATTGACCATATACATGGATTTATTTCTGGTTCTCTGTTCTGTTCCATTAATCTATGTACCTGGTTTCATACAAATATTATACTGTTTTGGTTACTGTAGCATTGTAATATAGTTTGAAATTGAGGAGCATGATGCCTACAGCCTACAAAAATTCTCAAGATTTCTTTGGGTATTCAGGCTCTTCTTTGGATAAATTTTTTGATTGTTTGTTCTATTTTTATGAAAAATACCATTGGAATTTTGATAGGGATTGCATTGGATCTGTAGATTGCTTTGGGTAGTGTGGACATTTTAACAATATTAATTCTTCTGATCCATAAGCATGGACTATCCTTTCATTTATTTGTATCTTCTTTAATTTCTTTCATTAATCTCTTGTAGTTTTCAGCAAATAGGTCTTTCCTCTTCTTAGTTAAATTTATTCTCAAGTATTTTTTATTCTTTTCGATGCAATTGTAAATCAGATTGTTTTCTTAATTTCTGTTTCTGATAGTTTGCTATTAATATATAGAAACATAACAAATTTTTGTATATGATTTTGTATCCCATGGCTTTGCTGAATTCTTTTTATTAGTTCTAACAGTTTTTTGGTGGAGTCTTTAGAGTGTTCTATATATGGCATGTCATCTGCAAACAGTGACAGTTTTATTTCTTCCCTTTCAATTTGGATGCCTTTTACTTCTTTTTCTTGCTTAATTGCTCTGGCTAGAACTTGCAGTACTATGTTGAATGAAAGTTCTGAGAGTAGGCATCTTTGTCTTGTTCTTGATCTGAGAGGAAAAACTTTTAACTTTTTGCCATCGAGTCTAATGTTAGCTATGGGCTTATTATATATGACCTTTACTATAATAAGATATATTACCTCTGTATCCACTTTTTTGAAAATTCTTATCATAAATGAATGTTGAATTTTGTTCAAATGCTTTTACTGAATCTCTTGAGATCATTAAATAATTTATATCCTTCATTTTGTAATTTAGTGTGTCCAAATTGACTACTTTGCACATGTTGAACCATCCTTGCATAACTGGAATAAATCCCAATCCTATTTTAATATTGTGTGATCCTTTTAATGTATTGTTGAACTTGGTTTGCTAGTATTTTGTTCAAGATTTTTGCATCTATGTTCATCAGAGATATGCATGCTCTTTTGTGTCTGATTCTTTGTGACCACATGGACTGTAGCCCACCAGGTTTCTCTGTCTGTGATTATCCTGGCAAGAACACTGGAATGGGTTGGCGTTTCCTCCTCTAGGGGATCTTCCCAACCCAGGGATTGAACCTGTGTCTCCTGCATTGCAGGCAGATTCTTCACCACCCAGTCACCTGGGAAGCCATCAGGGGTATTGGCCTGTAATTTTCTTTTCTTATGACATCCTTGTCTGGTTTTGGTATCAGGATAATGCCAGCCTTGTTAAATGAATTTGGAAGTGTTACCTCTTGTATTGTTTAGAAAAGCTTGGGAAGTATTGGTATTAATTCTTCTTTGAATGCTTCATAGAATTCACCAGTGAAACTGTCTGGTTTTTTTATTTTGGGAGGTTTTTGATTTTTGATTCAATTTCACTGCTAAATTTGCTATATTTTTTTCATGATTGAGTCTTGGTACATTGTATGCTTCTAGAAATTTATCCATTTCTTCTAGGTTGTCAAACTTGTTGGTGT